TTCAATCGACTACGATAAATTTTCCATTTTCATGTTAGGGAGGTATAGATGTAAAGACGGAGGAAAACGTAACTTCCCTTCTTTTTTAAAGGGAAAAATATAAAGTTTTTAATCTTAAAAAGTGTAATTTTTCACCAATGGGAAATTATTTCCTGCCCTTTCATAAGCCAAATAAAGGAAAATGAAGAAAACTGAAACCATTTTCCATTATTACACTTTAACTACATCAAACTAAACACACACAAAATAGTTTGGCTAGGATACAAGTCTTCTAGTCTCGGATACATATGCGCTCACTTTTTATGTCAATCCTCCTAAAGCTCATTTGTGGGCTTTAGTTTGTAAGGGAAGAAAATGGGCTTTTGCTAGAACCTTTGTTGGATCTGTAACCTAATAACCCGCGCCCTATGTTTTGAATTTTTTTTTTGACTGAGTGTGTTTTGAACCTTGAACCTACCTTTTTTTTTTTTTTTTTTTTTTTTTTTTTTTTTTTTTTTTTTTTTTTTTTTGTTCTCATGAGACCGCTAAATATAAATAATTATGCCTACCTTTTTTTCATTTATATAATAGATATAAATTAGCAAATGAGATTTTATAGGATTCTCCTTAATGTATATTCTCTAAATATTAACTCTTTTTATAATTTGTATTTACATACGAAGTATATGTTCGAAGATTTTCATGGTCAAAGATACACATTAGAGACTATGCAAATGTAAATTGAGTCAAATATTCAGGAACGGAAGGAGTACTACATTACTACTGACATGTCACTTATCAATTCATCATACGTCGTTATTTATTACTCTTTTTGTCTCAAAATATTGTTCTCATTTTGACTTTTTCATGATCAAACTTTAAAAACTTTGATGCTCATACATGTCTGGCCATCTTTATTTGCTTACATTCTCAATAATAAATATATGGAACAAATAGAGAAGGGGGGGTACTAAACCACATTCGGTATTTACCGGGTAACGCCTGTATTTTTATATGAACTCCCTTAAGTAACCCATTCTTAAATAACTCTTCAATCTTCTCTCTCGTACTTTCACTTTTACTTTTCTCTCTCTTCACCTTAAGAATTTCATCCACAACCACCACCAAGTAAACCACCACAATTCCGTCACCACCAAGCAAAGCCACCACAATTCCGTTGCCACCAAGGGTTGTGACCGGCTACAAGGGACGATGTCAAGAAATCGAAAAGGTAAGGGAGTTGGCGATCAGGTACTTGTTGTTTGCAGATGAACGCCTGAAATTTTAGAATGTTCCATGGAAGGAACACATGATATTTTAGAATCTCTCCCAGAACATTCTAAAATTTCAGGCATTTCCCCCCATAACATTCTAAAATTTCAGGCGTTTCCCCCCTTGAATCCTGAAATTTTAGAATGTATTTTAGAACGTTCCAAGGGTGATTCTGAAATTTAAGGCTTTCCTTCTATGATTACGAAATAAATTTTTTTAAAAAAAACCGACAAAAATTCAAAGCATTCACCGGCTCTGTATGCTTTGACGACCTTTCCAGTGGCGTCATTGCTTCCTTAAACTCGTCCATTCATTGTTTGCGCTAATTGGTGAAGAGTTTTTTTAAAAAAAAAAATATAATATATATATATATATATATATATATATATATATATATATATATATATATATATATATATATATATATATATATATATATATATGATGTGGTGATTGTTCGTAGGTGATGGTTGTTTTGTGGTTGGTGGGGTAACAAGTTAACAAGTTAGATAGTGGTTAAAGAAAGTGAAATTGAAATAGGGTACATTTAATATGGGGGCATGTTTGTAAAGTCATGTAAAAATACGAGCCTTGCCCGATAAATACCGGATGTGGTTTAGCAATTCACTTAGAAAAATAGAGGTTACTAAGTATGAGGATGCATTCATGATTTCATGCATATATGTCCATCTTCCAATCTTTCAAAGTGTTGCTTTCACAGAAACTAGCTCCCACAACTTTGCTCCTGTGGGTAGTTTTCTTTGGTAATGCATTCTCGTACTATGGCATCGTGTTGATCACAACTCAATTGAACACTAAGGACAATTAATACATGTGATTCTCATGTTGTTCATAAAAAAGAAAGGAAAATTTACGAGGAAGGTCCTTTTATGAGGTCGACCTTGTGTGGAAGATCCTTTTATGAAAAAGGTGGCACGAAAGGTCCTTATATGAACATTGGGTTGCGAGGAGGGTCCTTTGACCAAATTCCGGCGTTGACCAATTTTTTTCCAGCCAAAAATAATCACATGATGTGCACGTGACCACTTAAATGAGGTTTTTTTTTTCCTTTTTCCCTCTTTTCCCTTGATTTCCCTTTTTTCCCTTTAAATTAAGCTTGGAAACAACAATTAGAATTAGAATTATGGTTATTATTTGGTATGGTGTTTGATTTCACTAGAACCAGAACCGACCACCTACGAAAACCACCCATTAAAACCCACACCTCGAACATCCACCCCACTAGAACCCAACCCCACGACCCCACGAACACCCACCCACCACTAACCGAGGAAATTAAAAGAACGAAGAAGATGATGGGGAAAAGTTCAAGCAACTAACATCACTAAGGTGAGGAGGAAAGAAGAGCACGCAGCACCGGCTATGGTTGAATGGCTTTGATTGGCCTTCAATTGTAATTTTAGGGATAAGAATTGAAGATTTGGGATTAATTTTGTTTTGAAATTAGGGTTTCATAAGGGAGAAATGGGGAAAGAGGGAAAATCGTGAGAAAAAGATGGGAAAGGGAAAAAAAGGGTAACTTAAGGGGTCACGTGATTTGCATATGATTTTAAATGGCCGGAAAAAATTGGTCAACGTCGGAATTCAGTCAAAGGACCCTACTCGCAACCCAATGTTCATATAAGGACCTTTCGTGCCACCTTTTTCATAAAAGGACCTTCCACACAAAGTCGACCTCATAAGGACCTTCCTCGCAAATTATCCAAAAAGAAAACACTAAGGGGGCGTTTGATTAGTGTATTTTTTTAGATTGGAAACGGATTTAGTTAAATCGATACAATTATCGACTTATCGTGTGTTTAGTTTGAAGATATGGTAACAATTACCATTACCTAAGGGTAATGGTTACCCCTTATTTGTTACCATTCCACTCCATTTTCATTACCCTGCTACTGATTTTAGAGTTGTGTTCATCACTAGTTTTGCTGAATTGCTGGTAAGTTTGTCTACTTTTAGAAACATACATACTAGCTAGCGGTACCAATTGAAGTCTTAATGATACTACGGAGTATCCAATATCAGATCATATTAGTACTATACTATTGAAATTTTTGTTTTTTTTAAAAACAGAAATTCTCAATAGTGACCCCTAGGTTTTGTTACACGGAAATAATTATTATCCTAATTAAGAAATTTATCTCACTAATAACCTTATTTCATTAAATACTTAATTTTAATTCATTATAGTTAGCCACCAACCTTACACCCACACCACCATCTCCACCATCTAGCCATCCTATCCCCCTCCTCTTTCATTGTTGGCAACCCCAACTACCCGACCACCTCTAGACCGCCGAACTCAACCTTGACCACCATTTCCACTTGAGGGTCACCATTGAGAATTTCCCTTGTTTAATAGTATAAATAGAGTTTTATGAGCATTGTAATTTTCGTTCATTGATAATAGTGTGATATTTGATAGTATCATTAAGACTCCAGTGGTACTATACATGTTTTCAATGGTACACAAAATATACTCTTGAAATTTAAAATTTCACAGAAAATGACCAAATACCTTGTGTTGTATGATGCTCACGGGTATAATACCCTAGAATCCCTCCAAGCAAATAAACCCTAGCTCCTAAAACTGCTTGGACACATACACGTAAAGTATGAATCAATACATACCATGACAATTTTGTTATGAGATAGTCAAGATAACATTAAGTGAATAAATAGTGTACTAAGATAATTGATGGTATATTACTTTTTGGTGGTATAAGTATGTCATGATATTTTTTTCTAATAGTACCAATAGAGTTATATGTAGATAGGAAATATATTTCAAATTTCAATAATACTAATGTGGTGTTCGATAGTACCATTAAGACTTCAACGGTACTATACATATTTCTAATGGTATACAAAACATATGATTCTCATACAATACGAATATGTAATCAGACCGACTCTCCACAATTTATGCATTAAGAAAAGGCAAGATTGGTTTCAACAACAAGAACTTTTAACAAGATGCAAGTAGCATCGTGAACTTTGACTAGTGGTGGTAACATCACATCACCAACTTATTCATCAGGTGCACAAAATAACATTAATAAAACCTAACACCAGAAATTATGTCGAAGGCACATAATCTTTAATAGTTTATTACCTTTTTGCAAATTATGACATCATGTTTAGTCCCTAAGGTCCAAATTGACCTAAGACCTTAACTGAGACATTTTATAACACACAAATCAATGTTGTTATAACTACTCATTAAAGTTCATGCTTCTTCGTGCATCTTGTTACTCCGTAAAATAAGTTCGTGTTACTAAAGTCAATTTTATTTTATTGAAAAATGCGAAGGGAGTAAAAAAAACATCAATGAAAACAAAGGCAAAATCGATTTCAACACGGACTTTTAACAAGGTCCATGTAGCATCGTGATCTTTGATTAGTAGCATCGTGAACGTTGATTAGTAGCGATAACATCACCAACTTCTTCATCAGGTGCGCAAAATATCATAAATAAAACTTAGCACGAGAGATCGTGTCGAAGACGCATAATCTTTAACAGTTTATAAACTTTGGAAATTGATTTTGACACACCCCTATGCGAGAAGAGCATAGAAAACTGTGCTCTCACGTAGAGGTGTGCCAAAATCAATTGGGGGTGTGCCAAAATCATTTCCCATAAACTTTTTGCAAATTATGATATTATGTTTAGTCCTTAAGCTCCAAATTGACCCAAGACCTTAATTGACACATTTTATAACACACAAATCGATGCTATTATAGCTATTCATCAAAGTTCATGTTGCTACGTGCATATTGTTAAAAGTCCGTGTTACTAAAGTCAATTTTATTTTATTAAAAAACCCGAAGGGAGTAAAAAAAAAAAAAAAAAACCATAAATGAAAACTCAGAAGCAAAGCACACGCGTGGAAAGACAGCGAGGGTGAGAAATAAAAAGGCAAAAGACACTAGAATTTATGCTTTAATCACACCTTCTTTTCCTCTGACCTCTCCCATTCTTCCTCTAATTGTACTGTCCTTCTCTCCTTTAGCACCAACACAAACACTATATACAATCAAGAGTTATATAACCAACACTACCATATAGTAGTAGTATACACTATTTTTATCATATAGTAGCAAAATTAATCAATTTAGAAAATGAATCGTCTGGCCCCATTATCTGAAGAACCATTCAATGAAGAAGATACCAAAAAACTCTCCAAAAAAACCCATGCATGGAAAAATTGGGTTAAAAACCTTTTTTTCAACAAAAAATCTGATCTTAAAATTCTTCTTAGTGTTCTTGCTTGCCCTCTTTTTCCTGTTTCTCTTCAACCAAATCAATCCATTCTTCAGGTATTTCTATTATTTTGGAATTTTTTGGTTTTTACTAATCACGTGTTTATATTATTTTGATTTGTTTTTTTAAAGCATTAATTTTTGTGGGGTTTGTTAATTGAGAAGTTGAGAACATGTATTTTTGTTTTATGACATAATTTGATCAAATTGTCTTGGCAATGTGGTTTTTTTATTCTATGATTATGGCATTTCTGCTGGGTCCATTTTTTGTTGATACTTTAATGAATTTCATAAATTCTATTCTTTAAAACTTATTTTTAAATAATTACACTTTCCTCATTTCAAGATTTTGCTTATTATAACATTTTAATTGCATTTTTATGATAGTTTTAGAAATGGGGTTTGGATATTATGAAATGGCAAGTATAATATGGGTTTATCTATAGATAACAGAGTAATTTGAGTTAAATTTGGAAAATCTGATAAATATAGAAATGGGTTTTGCATAATTTTACTTTAATGACTTTAAGGACATTTTTTGGGATACATTTGAGACAATTTCAGAGCAGTTTTTTTAATAGAATTGTAAAATTTAGATGATTATAAAAATGGGGTTTGAATAAATTTGATATTTGAATGGCAGGTATCATCATCATCCCAGTACATAATAGAGCACTTTAAAGCAGCAACAGGTTGTAAAAAGCTGGAAAAAATGGTGGTGAAAAATATATTTGCAACAGGGAAAGTGAGCATGACAATGCTAGAAGAGCCGAGCTTAAGCGGCTCATCGGCTGTGGTGGTGGCGGCTGGAGCCACTCACAAAGGCTGCTTTGTGATGTGGGAGATGTTGCCTAACAAGTGGTCAATTGAGCTTGTGGTTGGTGCTCATAAAGTGCTTGCTGGTAGTGATGGCAATGTGGCTTGGCGTTACACCCCCTGGCTCGGCTCTCACCCGGCTAAAGGCGGGGTCCGGCCCCTCCGCCGGGCCCTTCAGGTTTAAATCCTCTTCATTGCTATGTTCTTAGTTCAATTGTAGTGCATCCTTGTACATTTTAATGTTACATACTTGCATGTTGCATCTAATTTTATCCATAATGATGAATGACTAGTCATACACTCAAGTCCTAAAACTCCTGATTATATATTTCACACTCTCAATATACTAGTTTGGGATGTTCGGAGTCATGTCATATACTTGTCACTAGATGCTGTTGGGCGCCCAAAGGCGGACCTTCCTATATGTACACCCGGTTGTCAAAAATATTGTACACAAATTTATCTTCATATTTTTGTAATGTGAACAAAGTGCACATCCCTATGTCAAAGAGAAAAGTTTTGATTAATAAAAGGAGTAAAAGAGTGAAAGAAGATGGGTGAAATTGTTGTAGTGTTATCATTGTATTCTTACTTCTATGGCATTGTATTTATAGCCATGAGTTACACTAATAATACAATAATTACTCACATAGAGCCATATGAGTTCACAAGTGTTTGGACCTATATGAGCATTGTGTAATCAAATCAATAATTGGCATTCACTTATTAGACTTATCTTCTAACACTCCCCCTTGAATGCCACTAAAGATCTTGTTAGGCAAAACTTTATGGGACAAGACCCATAGCCAAAAGAGTACACCAATATTATTGTATTATATGCTTTGGTATACTGCCTCGTTAAAAACCTTGTCAGGAAAAACCCGGTGGGATAAAAACCTGATCGAAGGGAAAAAGAGTGCAGTACATATAATACTCCCCCTGATCTCAGCATAGTTCACGAAGATGTCGCATTCCGATTTTGTGAACTAACTGTTCAAATTTCTTCGAAGGAAGTGATTTGGTGAAAAGGTCGGCAAGATTTTCACAAGACTGAATTTGCTGGATATTTATTTCCTCGTCCTTTTGCAGATCATGTGTGAAGAACAGTTTTGGGGCAATATGTTTCGTTTTATCTCCTTTAATATATCCTTCAGTTACTTGAGCGATACATGCTGTATTGTCTTCAAAGATGATGGTTGGGTCTTCTGTTATTGCGTTCATTCCACACTCCTTTTGGATATTACTGATCATCGACCTCAGCCACACACATTCCCGTCCTGCTTCATAGAGGGCTATCAACTCTGCATGATTTGATGATGTCGCGGTCAATGTCTGCTTTGTTGATTTCCATGATATTGCAGTGCCGCCATAAGTGAATACATATCCATTTTGTGACTTGGCATTTTGAGGATCTGATAAGTATCCAGCGTCTGCATACCCAATGAGAGCAGCATCTTGTTTTGGTTGGTAATATAAACCAAGGTCTTGTGTCCCTCGTAGGTACCGGAGTAAGTGTCGAACTCCCTTCCAATGCCTATATGTTGGTGCATTGCTGTGCCTGGCTAACAAATTCACAGAGAAAGCTATGTCGGGTCTAGTATTGTTAGCTAAGTACATTAAGGCTCCAATTGCACTTAAGTATGGTACTTCTGGACCCAGAATCTCTTCATTTTCTTCTCGGGGTCTGAATGGATCATTTTTCATATTCAAAGAACGAACAACCATTGGGAAGTTGGTTGGGGTTGCTTTGTCCATGAAGAAACGTTTCAAAACTCTTTCTGTATAATTTGATTGATGGACAAAAATGCCATGACTCAAGTGCTCAATTTGTAGTCCAAGGCAAAATTTAGTTTTCCCAAGGTCTTTCATCTCAAATTCTTTCATCAAGTATTTTGCAGTTTTCTCGAGTTCATTTGGGGTTCCGATGATATTTAAATCATCAACATAAACTGCAATGATAGCGAATCCTGATTGTGATCGCTTTATGAAAACACAGGGACTAACTTGGTTGTTTTTGAATCCTTCTCTCATAAGGTATTCACTCAGACGGTTGTACCACATCCTTCCAGATTGTTTCAATCCATAAAGTGACCTTTTTAGTTTTATGGAAAGCAGTTGTCTAGGCTTGTGGTTTTCTGGTAGTTTTAGTCCTTCGGGGACTTTCATGTAAATGTCCGTATCGAGTGACCCATACAAATACGCAGTCACTACATCCATTAATCGCATTTGCAGTCCTTTTGTGACTGTCAAACTTACCAGAAATCTTAATGTAGTTGCATCAACCACTGGAGAATATGTTTCTTCATAATCAATCCCTGGAATTTGAGAAAATCCTTGGGCTACAAGTCTTGCCTTGTATCTAACTATTTCATTTTTCTCATTACGTTTTCTTACAAATACCCATTTGTATCCAACGGGTTTTACACCTGCCGGTGTAAGGGTTATTTTCCCAAAAACTTCTCGTTTTTCAAGTGACTTTAACTCAGCCAGCATTGCCTCCTTCCACTTTGGCCAATCACTCCTACGTCGACATTCTTCTACAGTTCTTGGTTCAACATCATTTTCATCAGACACGATGTCGATTGCGATGGAATTTGCAAATGTTTCATTAACGATAACATCTTTCCTATTCCACTGAGTCTTTGTAGAGACGTAATTCATTGAAATTTCATTGTTATCGATGTTTTGAACATCTTGTTCATTCCCCGTAGGGTTGTCTTCTTGTTCGTCCCCTTTTGGATTATCATCATTTTCTTTACTTTCATCCACATTTGGTCTTTCTTGACCTTCTGACGGGGGAACATTATTAGTCTCATTTTCTATTCCATCCAATCTTTTTAGTTTCCTTGGCTTAGAATCTTTTGAACCAAGTGGTCTTCCACGCTTTCTGCGTGCCTGAGATTCATTTTCTATGGCCTTATTACCAGTTGGGATTTCAATACGTGCAGGGGCATTTTCTGCTGGTATATGTGATTTTGTCACCTTCTTTGTGTCTACAAATGCATCGGGCAATTGATTTGCAACACTTTGTAAATGAACAATTTTCTTAACTTCTTGTTCACACATATTTGTTCGTGGGTCTAACATCAACAGTTGTGTTGCATTCCAAATGAGTTCAATTTCTTTCTTATGTGGGTCCACTTTCTCTCCCCCTAAGGCTGGGAATACTGTTTCATTAAAGTGACAGTCCACAAATCTAGCCGTAAATAAGTCACCAGTCAATGGTTCAAGGTATTTAATTATAGAGGGGGATTCAAACCCGACATAAATTCCCAGCCTTCTTTGTGGACCCATTTTTGTTCGTTGGGGTGGAGCAATGGGAACATATACAGCACAACCAAAGATTTTTAGATGTGAGATACTTGGTTCTCGACCACAAACAAGTTGTAGTGGTGAGAATTTATGATAAGCTGTAGGTCTCAATCTAATTAGCGCTGCTGCATGTATTATAGCATGTCCCCAAGCAGATGATGGCAATCTTGACCTCATTAATAATGGTCTTGCAATCAATTGTAATCTCTTAATTAGTGATTCAGCTAGGCCATTTTGTGTATGAACATGAGCTACTGGGTGTTCAACATCAATTCCAATCGACATACAATAATCATTAAATGTTTGGGATGTAAATTCCCCAGCATTGTCAAGTCTTATTTTCTTTATTGTATGATCTGGGAATTGTGCTCTTAATTTGATGATTTGGGCAAGTAATTTTGCTAAGGCAACATTTCTACTTGAAAGTAGACTAACATGTGACCATCGTGTAGAGGCATCAATTAAAACCATGAAATATCGAAATGGTCCACATGCTGGATTAATTGGCCCACATATATCTCCCTGAATTCTTTCCAAGAATTTTGGAGATTCAGTAGCAATTTTGTTCATAGATGGCCTTATTATTAATTTGCCAAGTGAACATGCAGAGCATGTTAATTCATCTGATCGGGGAATTTTGACATTTCTTATTGAATGTCCAACTGAATGTGCTATTATTCTTTGCATCATCCCAGTTGCTGGATGTCCCAAACGATCATGCCATAAAATAATCAAATGTTTGTCATCTAACTTCTGGTTAGATATCATATTGATTTCCACGGGTCGTATGTTTATACGGTATAACCCCGAAGAGTATGCTGGCAATTTCTCATATATATGTTTCTTGCCATGTTTTTCTGCCGTGAGGCATATATACTCTTTTTGATCTGTCGTCATTGTTTCTAGATGATAGCCATTTTGGCGTACATCTTTAAAGCTTATGAGATTTCTTCGAGATTTACTCGAATATAAAGCATTATTGATTATTAATTTTGTTCCATTTGGAAGCATTATACAAGCCTTTCCAGATCCTTCAATTAATTTAGCTGACCCGGAAATGGTGTTTACATTTGCTTGAAACAACTTTAGTTGTGAAAAATATTTTCTATCTTTTAAGATAGTATGTGTTGTTCCACTGTCCAAAAGGCATTGATATTCGGAACTAACTTCAGGTAGATCCATATCTTCATAAAATAAATTTAAGATTAGTTTAGAATAATATCATACAAACGTTTATTGATGATAAAGATTTAAAGTACATGACTAGAAATTTAAAAATACAGGGAACTAAGAAAATACATTAAAACATAGCATATGTTACATTAGTAGATGGGGAACCTAAGCATTGTTGTTTTCTCCAAGAATGAAATCATTCCCAGTTTCAGCATTGTCCATGAAGAAATCGGACACATCAAGGGTAGGACATGGAGCATTTTCTTCATTAACATAATTTGCTTCTGCATTTTTCTCTTTGCCTTTTACAGAAGCCTGGTAAAGGTCTACCAAATGTTTGGCCGTACGACAGGTACGTCCCCAATGTCCTGTCATGCCACATCTGTAACATGTGTCTTTTCCTTTTGAAAGAGTTTGTTTGTGGCTTCCAGATGACTGTCCTTTCTGTTTTTCAAAATTTTTGAAATTACTGTTTCTTTGAAAATTGTTTCTACCACGTCCTCGGCCTCGTCCGCGATAATTTCCACGGCCTTTTCCACGGCCATTGTAATTTCCACGTCCACCTCTTCTTGTAGCATTTGACTCGGGTGGATAGGAATTTGTTGCATTTGCCTCATGATGAGTGGCCAAAGACCCAGTTGGTCTCAGGTTATGATTTTTCAACAAAAGTTCACTATTTTGTTCCGCAACAAG